GTTTTCCCACAGGCCCACTTCATTCCTTCCCCTTCCTGCTTCTCTCCCCTTCCCTCCAGCCTCTCGGGCTCCCGTTCACTCACTCTGTCTCCCCTTCCCTGACAGTTTGGGGGAAATCTGTCTGTGTCAACACAGAAATTCCATTATTTATTGGCTGAGTGGAGCAGGGTCCTACACTCGTCTGTAATTGTCTCCAGATCAAAGCGGCTGCTGATGGCAGCTTTGCCTTCTCGAAGCAGAACACCACCCCCAGCTTCCAGCTCCCCATCCTCCCGGGGGAGTCGGGTGCGTGTGCGTTGACACCCTCGATGACTGATCTCTCAGACAGAGAGGAAAGAAGTAGGGCTGGTGGGGGAGAAAAGGGAGGCCTGGAGGATCTGCAAAGCTCCCTGGAGAAGATGGGGATGGTGGGGTGTGTCTCAGGGAGACAAAGTCCCTGGCATGGGCCAGGAGAGAGTGGAAGGGTAGAGGTGGTCCCTGTCCTGGCAATAGAGACAGAGAAATGAAGTGAAAGAAGGGACAGGGAAGCAGGAAACATCCCCATATCTGTCCAGGACTGGAAGAATTAAATTTTAGAAATGGAGATAAAGGAGAACATGCCTTTTCATGCCTTTCCCTTCTGAAACCACCAACCTATGACAGGGATGTGGGACTTCAGCAGTAACTGCACACAGTTTTTATTTGGATGTTGATGCAAGATGTCTGTAGGGAGAGGAAACATCCTCTCTGACTTCTGCCCCTTGTCCTCCTCACTCATGTCCCAGCTTCAACATGACTGGAAGAGCTGCAGTGGTTTCTCTGCTGGAGGAGGTGAGATCAATCAGAACCACTCTTCCCAGGCCTAGTCTTCCCACTTTAGCATGATACACTGGGGAACTTGGGAATCTTTTATGCCACATGGATCTGTGGACATCAAAAGATGTAGACACCATCAAAAATCATGACAGCTTGGTCCTCTCTCTCACTGCCCAGTACATGAATCTGTCAGGCTCAATCCATGGCTCTGCATTCCTTCTGTCCAAAGCATTTCCTCCTCGTAACACCTCCCTGGCCCTACCATCATTTCTCCTCTGGTTCCTTTCTCCACAGAGTTCAGGCAGTTTCACATACACTTCTCCCTGTAAGGTATTGTTCCAAGCTTTAAATCAGTATTTTAACCTTTCAGAACTTCAGGCACAAGAGTTGTGCATATATTCCAACAGCAGTCACACTGATGCCTGACAGAGGAGAGGTGTCACCTCCTCTCTCACAAAGCTTCTGCTCTTCCCCCAGGCAATCATCACACTGTTGCCCACCTTTCTTTCCTGCTCACTGTTCCTTCATCCTTCCCAGCAGAAAGGAGACATTCCCTCAGGATATTTTAGGGAGACACTCTTAAGAGGATGCCCACAGTGAGTAGTCCCAGCTCTCAGGATAATGGGGACACACCCCTTCTTTTGCTTTTGGTCCCAAGTCTATTACTTCAAATGGAACAAGATACCAGCCATGAGAGCAGCTCCTTTGGCACCTTGGGTTTGCAAGAAATTCTCCCCCTCCAGAGCAGGAGGGGAGACTTGGCTTCCTGAGCTGCCACTGAAGCCTATGTCCTACAGGGAGTCAGAACTGCCCCCTCAGAGGCTGGGCAGGACTGGGCCCATGTCCTGGAAATGCTCAAAAGGAGGTGACAGCTAGAGAGGGTTTGCTGGGAGCTGAGCCTGTTTCAGTTTCCACCTGTCCCAGGCAAAGGGACTGAGGGAGTTGTCCCTAAGTGTGTCTGGCCAGGAGAGTCAAGTGCCTTCTACCAGTAGTAAGCCTTGAGTTGGTCACCTCAGCAAGGTCTTCTCACATAAAAAACCCCTGGAACTTCATGAACATATCATGCCTGGTGCAAAAGTTCTTCCTGCATCACTGCAGAGGAAGAGGAGGGTGGTAGGCAACCCCAGCACCTTGCAGAGCAAAGCCCATGGACAAGGGCTTCCAGTGGGAATAGAGTCCTGGCATCCTTTGTTGCTCCATCCACCCCTGGGCATGGTGCCTGTGAGAAGTGGCTCCTGATAAATCTAGGACCTGTGTTCTGGAAGCCTGGGCTCCCTGGACAGCTCTTTCCCTTGCTTTGGTGAGCTACTCACCTCTGCTTGGTGACTGGGACTTCCCAGGTTCACAGGGGTTTTTTCTGTTGGGATTTCTGGAGGACCTTGGGGCATCCCTACACAGAGCTAGATTTGGCAGCTCAGGAGGACCTCCAGAATGACAATCTCTGCCCCAGTCTGGTCCCTGTGACGCCCTCACAGTGAAGACTTTTTCCTTAATAAGAATTTATTTTCTCCAGCTCATGCCCTTACTTTCTCATCCTGTCCCTGTGCACTTCTGAAAGGACATGGGCATGTATCGTATCTTGCATCCCAGCACACGAGGGCAGGCAGAGTGCCCACCAGCCCTGATAAACATGCCAAGATGGCCACCATCCCCTTCAGGACATGGGTTTTCCTCCCATGGGAAGGCAGGGAACCAAAGTTTTGAAGTGGAAGGAGCTCTGGTCAGGGCATCCTGCTGCAGAGAGCATTGTGGCTTCACAGACCGAATCCCCAGCACTTGACCCTACAGAAGCAACCCCGGAGTGAATTCTCAGCTGCAGGGCCAGGGCTGCTCTCATTCCCATGAGGAGACCCCCCCTCCTTCCACTGTGTTTGCCCTTTTGGGCACCACAAACTATAACTGCTCCCGCTTGGAGCGAGGAGGGAGCAGCACAGCCACATGCACGGCTGGGCAGACGGGCGCCCTGGGGACCTGGGGGAGGGGCTGCATGGTCTGGCAGGGACAGCGTTTCTTGCAGCCCCTTCTGCTGCCCCAGAACGCAGCAGGCAGGAAAATGGAGCCACAGTGGTGGCTGGGCAAGGTTTAGTGCCCACAGGCAGCTGAGTGTTGGTCTCCCCCCAGTCCTTTGCTCTCTGCATGACTTTTCCAAGGCAGCTCAACCTGCGGCATCTCCTGCTACATCCCACCCTGATCTCTCCGGCTGGCCTTGCCAAGGCACATCAGTGCTGACCTGCGGCAACTGGCCACCCGCCCGCCTGTGCCAAGGCATCTCAGAGAGACAGACCCCTTCTAGCTTCCAGCATTTTCCAAAAACAAGCTCCTAGCTGCATCCTGATTCCCTACCCCGGGAGAACAGGGCTGGCAGCTGAACACTCTTCTGCACCACAAAAGGGGCCTTAAAATCTATAGGGTATGAAGTGGGGTGTTAGGAGTGCACTGTCCCCATTCCATTCCCCCCATCCTGCTGCTCACCCCCCTCTGCTATGTTCTCCCAAAAAAGGCTCTTCTTTGGATTCCTCACCCCTTTGCAGCACCCCCAGCCCCAGCCATTTCCTTCTGGAAAGGGATCCTTGGAACAAGTCTGTTCTCCCTAACCCCTCCCACCCCCCAACCTGTTTGACCTTGGTCCCCTGGAATCGTGGGGTCTGGGAGGGGAGCTGGAAGAGACTACAAGGTTTGGGGAGATGAGGAAAAGGAGCAGGATGGGGCTATCCTGTGATGTCCCTTAGGGGAGGAAAGCAAGGCAGGACATGACATGGCCCCCCCCCCCCGCCCCAAGGAAGCAGGGATGAAGATGTGCAGGGGTGGGGGGTGCATTACCAAGCAGAGCTGGAGAAGGGCGGGAAGGGCCGGGCAGGGAGTCGGGGGGGGCCTCGGATCCTGCCGGCGCACCTGGGGGAGCAGGAGGTGGTGGTGAATATTTTACTCTAAATCAAACAATAGGACCAGAGCCGCTCCAATGATTTTGCAGAATGCGTTTGGTCGGAGACGGGGGAAGGACTGAAGGGAATGAAATAAGACCCCCCCGAAAATTTCTGTGTCCCGTCTCACCCCCACCCTCAATCCCCCTCTGGCCTGAGCAGCACTCGAGGGGGCTCCCGGAGGAGCGCTACCCGCTCCATCCCACCTCCGGCGTCTCAGCCCGGGAGGGCTGGGCGGTGATGGACGGAGGGAGGGGGGCGGGCGGGGGGGGCGCAAATCGGGGATTGGAGGGGGATTAGAAAGAAACAGATCGGGGCGGGGGTGACAACGCCAGGGGTGGTCTTGGCGTGGGAGATGGCGCGGGGGACGGGCTGGCAGTGACCGGCGCCGCCGATGCAGGCTGGGCTTCACTTACCGGGAGCCGTCCCGATTCCACCCGTGAGCGGCCCGAGCCCACGCGTGCCTCAGGCGCTCCGCTCCTTCCACCTGCCCGCCCCTGCCAGCCCTCCTCCCCGACCGGCGACCCCACGAGCGCGGCTCGTCCCGCGTGGGTCTCGCTGCACTCCCAGGGATCAAATCCTTTTCCCAGCCCGACAAACCCCACCAGCTCCGCCGTCTCCTGCCTCCTCCGGTCTCCCGGTCGGCTCTGGATCCTGCTTCCCACTCGGGTCCCCGTGGGGAGCAAGGTGGGGGGAGCGGTTGGAGCCGGCGGTTCCCTTCCCAACGGGGACCGGTAAGCAAAGACAAAGGCGGTGAAATATCAGTGCCCGGCTAAAGCCGCTCCGAGCCCCTTCGAGCCTTTAACTAGATCGTTAGGGGATAATCCGCACCCTGAGCAGCCGCGGGGCGGGGGCAGCGGCCGCCCCGTCCCGTTACCGAGCGCCCCCGGGGACGCCGACGGTGGGAGGCGACTCACGGAGCTGCCCGGGCGCGGCGGCGGCTGGAGACGGGTCTGCGGGGAGGACGGATCGGCCAGCGGAGGGACCGTGAGCGGTACCGGGGCGGGGAGGGGAAGGGGGGCGCAGGGGCCGCCGTCTGTCGCGCTTCGGGGGCCGGCGGGGGACCCGCGGCTCGCTCTGCTCCCGCCTGCCCCTCACCTTCCGCGGGGGGCGGAAAGTTTGTGCCCGCGGTGGGGGCACCGCTGGGGGTGTGGGGAGGCAGATCCTGGGGTACCTGGGCAGGATCGTGTGCCGAGAGCCCGAGGGGCTGACACTGGGGTGCCCGGTGGGGGAGCGGGATTTGGGTCGTGGGGCTGTGGGCAAGCGGGGTGTCAGGGGTGGGAAGGAGGCAGGGAAAGAAGGGGGGGATCCCTGTGCCTCCGCGCTGATGGGCTCAGCTTTATCCAGGGCTGTAATCCCCCTGCTCCTGTAATTAAAAACTCCGCATTACAAGGAAAACGGTGTGCAGGGAAATGTAATCAAGTCTGGAGGGGCTTAACCATCTGGTAAAGGTTAGGACCGGCACGGCGGGGGACGCGGCCGGGGGATTTGGCAGCAGCCGCGATCTGGGCTCTTCTTAATCTACCGCGGGGACGAAGGCAGCATCTGCGGGGTAATACCGGTGCCCCGGGCAGCGATCGGTCTTGCTGGAGCTCCCACCGCCGTTAACGGGATCTCCCCGAAGGTGGTCCCCTCCCCAGGTGCGTCTGGCTCCGGTAAACAGATTCTGCTGTGGCCCCGGGACCCGGATTGCAGCTCCTTGAGAGGGCCAGCAAATAAAGGGTTAAGCCATTGCCGGTGGCCGCGGTTCGGCCCCGCAGCTCCGGGCAAGACCCTCCTCCGCCGCCCCCGGGAGCCCTAAACTCTTTGGAAGTGCGAGAGGCAAGAGAAGGCGAGGGAGGAGGCAGCGGCGCCGGTGCGACTCCTCGTTCCCGGGACTGCTGGGGGGCCATGGGGGCCGGGACACGATCCGGGCGGGGGCAGCTCTTCCTCCGCTCCCTCCTCTTCCTCCTGTTGGCCGGGTCCCCGGCGCGCCACCCGGTGCGGGGGCAGCTGCGCTACGCCGTGCCGGAGGAGCTGGAGCACGGAGCCTTCGTGGCCAACCTGGGTGAGGACCTGGGACTGGATGTGTCCACCCTGTCGGCGCGGAGGTTCCGCATCGTGTCACGGGCCGGGGCCAGGCAGCACCTGGAGGTGAACCTGGAGAACGGGATCCTCTTTGTGAACGAGCGGATTGACCGGGAGGAGGTGTGCGAGGCCGGGGGGACCTGCCTGCTTCACCTGCAGCTCCTCGTCGAGAGCCCACTGGAGCTCTACCGCGTTGAGGTGGAGGTGCTGGATATCAACGACCATGCACCCACCTTCCCTTGGCAGGAATATGTGCTGGAAGTGGCCGAGTCTGCTGTGCTCGGTGCTCGCTTCCCACTGGAGAGCGCCCAGGATCCTGACGTGGGCACCAACTCTGTGCACACCTACCGCCTCAGCCCCAATGGCTTCTTTTCACTCGAGGTGCAGACACGCAGTGATGCCAGCAAGTTTGCAGAGCTGGTGCTGGAGCGTGCCCTCGACCGTGAGCAGCAGCGTGTGCACCGGGTGCTGCTCACCGCTCTCGATGGCGGCGTCCCCGAACGCTCAGGCACGGCGCACATCCTCATCACGGTGCTGGACGCCAACGACAACGTGCCTGCCTTTGACCAGCCCTCCTACGGTGTGAGCCTTCCTGAGGACGCTCCTGCTGGCACCCTGGTCATCCAGCTCAATGCCACTGACCTGGATGAGGGCCCCAACGGGGAGATTGAGTACTCCTTCAGTGGGCACGCACCGCCGCGCGTCCGGGAGCTCTTCCACGTGGAGCCCCGGAGCGGGCAGGTGCTGCTGAAGGGCCGCCTGGACTACGAGCGGGCCAGCCTCCACGAGCTCTATGTGCAAGCCAAGGACCGCGGACCCTCGGCTGTGGCCGTGCACTGCAGGGTGCTTGTGCACCTCCTTGATGTCAATGACAATGCGCCAGAGGTGACCCTCACCTCTGTGTCCACACCCGTGCTGGAGGATGCCCCCCCAGGCACTGTGATCGCTGTCATCAGTGTTCTGGACCGGGACTCTGGGGACAACGGGCGTGTGAGCTGTGAGGTCGGCCCCAACGTGCCATTCGAGCTCCGCTCCTCCTTCCGGAACTACTACACGCTGGTCACCACGCAAGCGCTGGACCGGGAGCTTGTGCCCGAGTACAACGTAAGCATCACGGCTCGAGACATGGGCTCGCCTGCCCTGCTGACCCGCAGCACCCTCACCATCCCCGTGTCCGACGTGAACGACAACGCTCCGCGCTTCCTCCAGCCCTCCTACAGCGTCTATGTGATGGAGAACAACGCACCAGGTGCCTCCATCTGCTCTGTCAGTGCATTAGACCCCGACTGCCAACAAAATGCCTACCTGTCCTACTCCATTGCCGACGGGCACATCCATGGCATGCCTGTGGGCACCTACGTGTCCATCAACTCAGACAGCGGGCACATGTACGCCCTGCGCTCCCTCGACTACGAGCAGATCCGCAGCTTCCAGATCCAGGTGCAAGCACAGGACGCGGGGTTTCCCCCACTCAGTGCCAACGTCACCGTCCACATCTTTGTGCTGGACCAGAATGACAATGCTCCGGTCATCGTTTCCCCCATGCCGCGCAACGGCTCCGTCGCCACGGAGCTGGTGCCGCGATCAGCCAGGCCTGGCTACCTCGTGGGCACGGTGTCGGCGGTGGATGCGGATGCGGGGCTGAACTCTCGCCTCTCCTACCAGCTCCTCCAGGCTACTGACTTCACCCTTTTCAGCGTGGCACCCGACACGGGTGAGCTGCGCACTCTCCGCTCCTTTCTGGAGCAGGATGCGAGCCGGCAGCAGCTGGTGGTGCAGGTGCGGGACGGAGGGCAGCCAGCCCTCTCTGCCACCATGTCCCTCCTGCTTTCGGTGGTGGAAACCATGCCCCAGACTCTCTCTGACTTCAGCGAGTTCAGCCTCCCTCCAGAGGTCTCCTCATCTTCCCCGCTCACCCTCTATCTCCTTGTCTCCCTGGGCTCCATCTCCTTCACCTTCCTTCTCGCCATCCTCATCCTCACAGCCATTCGCTGCCGTGGAGAGCGGCGTTCCCGCCAAGGGGACAGCTGCCCGCCACCTCGCTGCCGCTGCTGTCCCGGCTCCAGACCCTCCTCTGATGGCCTGAAGACTTCCAACCTGACGGCACAGCCCCCTGCAGGGACCACGGCTGCCACCTGCCTTGATGTGCCTGCGGGCGGCCCCCCAGGCTACTGCTACAAGGTCTGCCTTGGTCCTGAGTCTGCTCAGAGCGACTTCATGTTCCTCAAACCCTGCAGCCCCCCCCGGAACAACGAGAAGGATCCCGGGAAGCGGTCCCGGCCAGACCAGCATCTCCAGGTCTCCAAAGAGGTAACATAATGCCCAGCAGTGCTCAGCAGCACTCCGCAGGTCCCCCCAGCCCCCTCCCTCATCCTCTGCCACGAGGGAAACCAGGCTCGGCTTCTGCCAGAGAATAACCGGAGCCTTTGATCAGTGCGGGAATCAGGAGCCGTCAGGCAGCGGGATCTCCACCGAGCTTCCCATCGGGTCTAATTACCGGGGGAGCGCCGGGCTGGGCAGAGGCGAGAGGAAATCCCTTCTCACCATCTTTTGTACCCATTAGAGGCAACAGGGATGCTCCAGTGCCCTAAGGGAGGCGGGATAGTGGGGGTGGCTTCTCCTTGGCGCGGATGAGCAATTCACACTGGGACAGCGCGAGCATCGCTGCCCTGCTTCCCCTGTGCTGGCAGGGCTCTGCAGGGTCCCGGGCCTGGCTGCTGTTCTGCACCCGGCTGTGCCAGCAGGCAGGGAGTGGGGTCTTCGGGGCAGGATTTGGATGTCAACGTTTGTTAGGTATTGAAATGAGGAATGTCTAATTTTCCCTATGAAAGACTCTCCAAAACACGATTACAAGGATGGAGAGTGATGAGGCGTCTAATCCACTTACGTTTGACTTTTAATAAACCAGCCCTTACGAGGAGAGCCCAATACTCTCTGCCAAGAGACTCTCTCTACGTGTCTCCTTGGACCCTTGGACTCTCTTCCCTAATACTTAATTAGATTTTCCTGCAGCTTTTGCAGCCCTCCTGGGACATAAAGCACGCAGCCAGTTTCTGCATCTCTCACCATTTAGTACCTCAGACCTGACCTAAGTAAACATTGCACATGCAAAAAAGGCTTTTGAAAATTAGCAGGAATAGGAAAACCACCTGTTTCTCCACAGAATGACAGGCTTAAAACTCCCAGAGGCATAAGACAAGCCCAGAGTCACCCCAATATCTCAGAAGGCTGAGGAAGGTGCAGAAGGGAACAGGCTGATTCCATGCTGTCTCAGTTTGCCCAAAACAGGAAAGTGCTGCTTGATTCTCCACAAAGAGCACAGGGAAAGTGGAAATGTGGTCCTGCATCCCTGCCTGCTGAAGCCTTGTGCTGGCAGGGCTGGGTTTTTTGACAAAGGACCCCAGGACTGATTGACAGAGGGTCCCAATAACCAGCCTTGCTCTTCCCTGTGTTTTCCAGGCCAAGCAGCCCAACACAGACTGGCTGCCTCCAAACACACAGAGACCTGCCCTGAAAAGGTACTGAATCAGCACTGGGGGAACAGAGGGAACAGGTGGAAGGGGGATATGGGAATGGGGAGGTTATGTCTGACACAGCTTTGAACCAGTCTCTTCTCTTTAGCTCCCAGAGCCTGGAAGATGTGGGGGAAATCCGTAGAGCCCTCCAGAAGGAGCACGAGAGGCTGTGCACACTGGTGACCCCTGTCTCTGGTTAGTATTGGGATACTGAGGCTGGCAAGACCAGACCCTCTGGTCACTTTGGAGGTGCAGTGGGAGCATCACATCCCTGTTCCTAGCAGTGGTGAAGTTTTGTGGGTGGAAGGGGTGTCCAGGCACCAGGATGGAGGTTGGTGACACAGGACATGCATCCTGGGATGTGGATGTGACCTGAGCCAATCTTACACTCATCTTTTCTCCAGAGTTTCAGAAGGCTTCAGCAGGACCCAACAGCATCTGGACACCCCAGTACAGCCCCTTGTACCCAGCCCTGGATTATCAGCACAACGTTTACATCCCTGGCACCCCCACTCTGCTTTCCAGCAAGGATGGGCCCCTCTTCCCAGGCCGGGAGAACAAAAACAGCTTCTCCACCTTTGGCAAGAGGAAGAAGATGACAACTTACTGTGACATGCACGACAGTGTGGTTATCAACAATGACCTGAAATAGCCCGGATGGCTCTATCCTTGGAATCCTCTGCATTATTTCAGCTGCCAGTCCACCCACAGCACACGCCTCCATGTATGGACCACTCGAGACTTTATGGAGCTGCTGGGAGAGTGGCTCAACAGAGCATGTGGGAAGGATTCAAGGAGCAACAGACTGAAAATTACAGAGATTGGGGGGTGGTGGCAAGGGAAATTTTTCCCATCTCATCTTGCAGAGCTGTATTGGCAGCAAGGTGCTGTTTGAGGTCCATATGACCAGATTTAAGCAAATCTGCCTTGAGTTTACCCATTCCCATGTCCCCTTAGGGACCATTCATCTCTATAAACGTTGTCACTTCTTTGTCTTGTCTGGCTGTGTGAATGTACTGAGCTGCATGCCTGTATCTCTGTCCCAGTAGGCATGGAAAGCGTGTGCAGACCAAGCCTGGTTCAGCCAAGCCTGACCTTACACACTGGGACAGCGACCATTGTTCTGTCCTTGAGATCCAGTGGGATGTGTTGCATGTCTAGAGCAGCAATTGATGTCTGTTTTTTCTGGGAAGTGAGTGCAAAACCCAGCCTTCGTGAGTGCTTCTCTTCCAACCCTGGCCCAACACTTTCAGGGCTGGACACAGCCCGGACCAGGGCAGAGCCAGCCTCTGTTCAGGAGCAGCACGTGCACACAGGGACTGGATGGCCAGAGGGGCTGCCAGCTTAAGCACCTGAGACCTGCACAAGGTGAGGCCCTGCTGAGTGGCTCTCTAGCCCAAGGCAACATCATCTGAATGAAAAACAGTTTCCAGCCATTGGAGTGACCCCAGCACAGGTGACAGTCTCTTCCCTCCAGCCCTGCCCTCACTCGGGTCTCTGTGTTCCCCAAGTCCTGAATGCCTGGAGGAATCCCTGCACTGCTGCACTGGGGGCCCACCCACATAGGACAAACATCTCCAAGTGTGCCCTGTTTCTCTTTTAGAACTTGTAGCTGGCAGTCAGGAGCCCTCAAGGGCAGGACTCCAGCCCCAGCACAGTCTCTCCCCTGCCTTGTGCACCCTGCACCTGTCCACCAGTCTGTCTGTCATCATTGCCAATTGCTCTGGTCATGGGACAGTTCATTTTGAATCCATCTGTGCAGAACCTGACAGCTCTTTCTAAACTGAGTTTGTTTCACTATGTCTGATTTGTACCAATAAATTGTATTTTAATAGCTCACCCTGGCTCCTGGCTGTCCCTGAGTTGCACACGACAGCAGGGATTGCTGCACAGCCCTTGGAGCAGCACTCCCAGCTCCAGGAAATACATGTGTCCTTCTGAGTTCTGGAGCAGAGAGCTCATTTTATGCTGAGAGCTCATTTTATTCACTTCACCTGGATTCTGGGGGCTCAGGGTCCCCTTCCCTCCTTCCCTGGACTCAGGAGCACTTTGGGGTCATGTCCAGAAGGAGCTGGAGATGTCACACAGCTCCTTGCCCCATGCTCCAGCTAGGGAAAGGGGAAATTTGCACCAAGGTGTGGGCATCCACGAGCTGCTGGGGAGAGGGGCTGGATGTGGCAGCAATGGCAGAACAACTCGAGGTTGTTACGGTGCTTTCTGTGGTGAATTTCCCCTTTCCCCTGGATAGGCACCCAGAGCTTGCCTCAGGGGCACAGAGATAACTGGATCTGTGCCAGGGATAGGGGCCAGCTCCCTGAGGCTAGGCAAGCCTGAGTCTGCTGGTGGGATGGTTCTTGGTTTGTGTGGGAAGCACTTGGCCTGCAGATGAAGTCCTGAGGTTGTCCTTGGCTGGCTTGGGGAGGCTGCAGTGCAGCTTTTGGGATTAACCCAGAAAAGTCCTTGTCTGCAAGTGGGCAATGTGCTCTTCAGTGAAGCAGGGGCAGGGAGCACTCAAAGGGGCCTCGTGGGAGCCAGGGGCCCGGGAGGACAAAGCTTTGGACATGAAAAGGACCTGGCTGCTTCTGGTGACTTCAGTCCCAGCTCACATCTGCCAGCTCACTGCGGGTAGATGAAATATTCTCTGTCCCAATTAGATGGTAGGATGAAGGATTTTATGCTGCCAAGTGCATTCTTCAAGGGTCTCCAGAGAGTGTTAAGGGTAAAAAAGAACCCAAAACAGCTACCCTGAGACCTCTGCACAGTATTAGCCTGTTCCACTGCTTCAAAAGAACAAGGGATTTATGTAAAGTGATACAATAAGATTAATAACAGCCTCAAGAAGTAATAAAAGCATCAAATGGACCTGAGTCCCTGCAGGGCAGCAAGCCTCTCCCCCTCCTGGATTAACTCTGGCAGTATCTCCCCTGCATTTTTAGGTGGTGCTGGTCAGGCACTGGGAGAGGACTGCAGCCCTCTGCAGGAGAGCCCAGCTGCTCACTGTGCTCCAGCTCACACAGCAAAAGCACCCAGCACATCCTGTCCTCCATGGCATCCAAGAGCTGCATGAGCACATGGAACTGGTGTTTTGTATCAGATTCACAGCTGTGGCTTCCCAAATGAAAATTGATATCAAAGCTGGCCCCCAAAAACCATAGGTGTTTGAAAGTGACATTTTGCATCTGTCTTTGAAAAATCATGGGGTCGAGCAACCAAAGGGACAGGTTTGCCACCTCCCTTGACACTCTCCAGAGTATTTTCTTGACATTTTTAAATCCCTGTTAACAAGGCTCACTGATGCCCACTGAACTGCCCCATGTCCTCTCCGTTACTTCTGACCATGATAGACTCTCTCTCTCACACACACACACACACACACACACACACACACACACACACACACAAATCTGTACTTCTTGCTGACCCCCCAGGTTTGCATGTTCAGTTCAGGCATCTTCCAAAAAGGATTTGAGCAACACAGCCCCCAGCCCAGGCCCCAACACCCCACATTCCCCCAGTATCTGCTTTTGCTTAGTTGAAGGAAAACCTGCACTGACAAGAGCTCAGTTTCAATCTTTCATTTCAATCATCATATTGATAAAAAGGACAATAAAAAGGGACATGCTTTAGGGGAGAGAGGACTTGCATAAATCTAATTCAACCACACTACTATCCCTCTTCAAAGGGCATGTCTGGTCAGAATCGTCCATCTAATAGATGAGCTCTCCTTTGATGATGTCCCACAGGGACAGGGTCTCATTAAAAATACAAGGTCTTTGCCCTACAACTAGTTATTTTTACAACTCTCCCTGTGCTAACACTCCTGCACAGCCGATGAGCATTAGCTGGTTTCTGTAGCCTGGTAATGCACTGGGCATGAGAGCTCCTTTGGAGATCTGCTCAGCAGAACACTCTCTGGATGCCCCTCTCACATCTTCCAGCTCTCTCAGAGATCCAGAGGCAAATTTGGCTTTCAGGGACCTGCCAGCCAGCTTGAGATTTGCTTCTAGGACAGTGGGAAAGCTGCCATGTGGTGCAGTTGGCTGCAAAGTGCTTCAGGCCATGGAGGCAGGCACACAGCGTTTCTGGGCACCAGCACAAACAGGGGCTTGTGCTCTTGCTGCTGCTGAATAGACTGCTCAGATGGAAACATCACTTGTATCTCTGTAAGGACTGGAAAATGTGTCCCAGAGAGACAAAACTAACCCAGAGGTAGAGAGAAAAGAGGCCAGAAGGAAAGACCCAGAGGGGCTGATGCTCAGTTCCACTCCCATCTGCCATGCACGGAATCAAGAATCAGCCAGCAAATTCCCCAGAGAACCTCGGCATGGACACAGCACTCTGCATGCAGCAGGGTCAGGCTGGCTGGAGCCAGGGGTACAGGAGGGTCTCAGCTCCCAGAGGGCATGGTATTGGCAGGACAGAGCCAAAACCCACTAAAATCTCTGCATGGACCTTGGATCCATCCCAATCTGTGGCACTAAGTGGTTAATTAGACCCTCCAAAGATGCTAGGAATTTCTTTTTATTTTTCTTCTCCTCTCCTCTCCTCTCCTCTCCTCTCCTCTCCTCTCCTCTCCTCTCCTCTCCTCTCC